TGTGCAATTATACTTTAAAATGTTTTTCACAATTAATGCAAGTATTTAATAATAATTAAAAAGATGCTATAATATTATAATTACAATAATAAATTGAATAATATAATTATAATAATTATAGTAAATATAAAAAGCACTGCAATTAGTAATGTTTAATTTTTCAATAATGTCATAATTAATTATTATTAACTATCATTAGGAATGCAGAGTTAAATAAGAGTGATGAATAATAACTCCCTAAAATTCAAAATATTATTAATTAATTATATCTATAACGTTATTGAAAAATTAAACATAACTAATTTATTACATTACTTTTTATATTTTTATATTTACTATAATTGTTTTAATAAATAATAATAATAATAAATAATATAATAATAAATAATATATTACAATATTTAGTTAATAAAAATTAATTATATCCACATAATTAATATTTATTTATGGTTTATTCTTTTTTAATTTACTTAATAAATAAAAGATTTTGTTTAAATAATTAAAAAATTAGGTAATCAAATAATATGCAAACTTTTTTAATAAATAATGCTTGTAAGAATCATCTAACTAGAATTAGATTGGAACCCGACTAGTTTTTCTCGACTAGAGATTCTAGTCAGAATCTAGCGAGAGCCCTACTAGAGATAGGGACAAATGGCGGAATTTCCAAACGGGATGTACTTTAAGCGGAAGTCCATCCAACCTATCATGGCCGAGAGGTATGTGTATCCGTCTGGTGTCCCCAAGGTCCAAGGTTCGAACCCTCATAGGCACGAGATTTTTCGTGTGCAACAATCATTAATAATGTTAATATGAATGGAGAATTCAATTATAAATAAGTTAAGTTGAAAAATAATAATTTTTAAAACCGGTAGAAGTGAACTAGAACTTCTAGTCGGGGCCCTATCAACTAGAGCGTGACAAAATCGACTAGAACCCCACCAGTTTCTCTAGTTGGAGCCCTTTTTCAAATGGGGTAAACTGGTGAGGTCCCCACTAGAACCCGACCACCATTTCACCGACGTGTAGAAATCTACACGGGTTGTTTACAATATTAGATGTACAATACTTTAATTTTTTTTAGTTATTTTTTTTTATCAAATGATTTTAATATATTTTTATAATTGTTTATTTTAATTCTACCAATTACCGATCAATGTTGCAAGTATTGTTTTAATATTTGTGTGCGGAACCCGCCATTGCAGTGCGAGTACAACTCGCACTTGTCCAATTTTTTTTTATTTTTAGTTAAGAAATTAAAGTCAGAAAACAATCTCTCATTTATTCTCTTAAAATTTCACTCTCTACCTTAAAATATTTAATGCCACGTGTTTAAACTAAAAAAAATTTTTTTTTTTTTTAAAAAATTAAAAAAAAATTTTTTTTTAATTTTTTTTCAAAAAGTTTCTTAAATAAATTTTTTGTCGTCAGACTGTAATAATACACTAGGATACCAATTTTCAGCTCATTAGGTCAAATAATGTAAAAGTTAGGAAAAAAAAATTTTTTTTTTAAATTTTTTAGTTTTTCCTTGACAACGCTATGGCCATCATTACATATCAAGTTCTCTATATTTTTCCTGTAATATTCGAGTAAAAATACACCAGCATGCAAAATTTCAGCTCTCCATGTCGAATAGTTTAGAAGTTAAGGGGGGGAATGGTCACTTTTTATGCATTTTTGGCCAAAAATCTTGTTATTTCCTTGACAACGCTATGCCCATCACGTCCAATCACATTCGCTATATTTTTCCTGTAATCTACGTGTGAAAATACATATCTGTACCAAATTTGAGCTCTTTAGGTCAAATAGTTTAGCCGCTAGGGGGGGGACACGATTTGGCTACGGACAACAGAGTCTCACCAATAGGGTTCCGCCGATACACCGTAGGTGTACGGAACCCTAAAAAGAACAGTTTTAACTGTTTTTTTTTAAATTGTCCGACATATTGGATCCGCCATTTTGAATTTCGAAAATCTAATATCAAACTCGTAATCAGCTACCCTGAAAACTCTCAAATAACGATTTTGAATCAAATCCACTTGACTAAATACATTTTTGTTTGTCTTTTTTACATAATGCAAATAAGAAAACATTTAAATCATTCGATTGGATTCTGCTTATCCGTGTATAAAAACATCTTTGACGTGCGTGGCGAAGAATAATTATGTATAATTTTGGTTTTGCTTCGAATTGTGCAATAAAATTTTAGGAGAGTATATTCTTGACACTATAAGAAATCCGAAAATAAAAAAAATCGATTTTTTTGACATTTTGAACTGGAATGTCCCCTTAATTATAATAATTTTTGCAATTTTTTAAACCCCATTATATTTTTTAAAATTTTTAGGCAAAATTTAAAACTTATATAGATGTCTTCCCTCAAGTTTCAACTTTAATTTAAGACATCATAAATGTCAGAGCATGGTTTTGGATAAATGCGTTGAAATAGTTAATTTTGTACGGTTTTTGACTGAAAATGATGAGGCTGAAGTCCGCAACGTTTAAAAAAACGAAAAATTAAAAAAATAAAAACTTTTCAACGCAAAAACGTTTTAATTGATAAAAAAATCAGGGTGGCGAGCGACCTGGAAAACCGGGAATAGACAGGGAATTTGAAAAATCTGGAGAAGTCAGGGAAAAGCTGTAGGAAGTGTAAATATTCTTAGTTATACACTTAAAAATGTCAATAAAGTCCAATGCACAATAGGACACAAATATATCTGCTTAAAAAGTGTTAATTTAAAACTTTATTTCATACGAAAATAATAATTGCTTTTATGACTAATGGATATGTATGGGGCATTCTCCGTGAAATTTTCACTCAAAATTTTTTTACATTCTCATCACATGAGAAGGTATTAGTTTTGGTCGAAAATTGACTTTCGCTAATTTCATGAAATCTCGACGTTTTGGGGTCCCCTGAACCCAAAAAACATGGTCCGGCGATGGTGTCTGTCTGTTTGTCTGTCTGTCCGTCTGTAGACGGTAATATGTTGTTCCCACGATAACTCTTGAAAAACTTATCCGATCGTTTTTAAATTTAACACACTTAAACTTGGTGTAAAAATGAAGGCTAAGTTCGTTAACCAGCTATTTTCGTCAGAAACAATTTTTTTTTTTTTTTTAAGTTTTTGGGTCAGTCAGCTTAGGGAGCGTTCACAAATGATGTTACGTTTTTGGGGGCATAGGGGTCTTGACTATATACTCTACTGTATTTTTGCATGTGAAATTGCATGAAATTGCGTGACAGGGAAGGAGGGGTCTAAAATCCCGAAAAATTGCGTGACTTCATTTGTGAACGCTCCCTTAACTGTGTTTAAAAATTTGTTATTGATTTTGTGAAATGTTATAACTTTTATAAAAATCCGTTGTTATCAACAACTTGATAATAATAGTTTAAAAATATTTTAGCTGCTTCTGCAAATCATGTTTCTGCTAAGAGAGTTAGTATAATTAAAAATAACTTCACAATTTTAATCATCGAGACCAAAAATTAGAGTTGTGCAAAAAGCTTGAAGCTCGAAGCTTGATCGAGAATTTCATTTTTTGAGCCGAGCCGGGCCTAATCAGTTCGAGCTGAGCCGAGCTGTGTAAAAAGCTCGAATAGTTTCGAGTACTTGAATTCACTCTAGTGCTCAAATTTAATCAAGTCCTCGAATTTACACGAGTACTCGAATTGTTCGAGTACTTGAAGTCCCTCAAGTACTCGAAAATGTCGAGTACTTGATACATCGAGCCGGCTTGGCTCGGCTCGAGAAAATTTCGGCTTGGCTCGGATCGACATTTCGAGCTTTTTGCACATCTCTACCAAAAATATACATTTTAATCCACTTAATCTCGCAATCATCAGCAAAGAAGAACATGTGATGAGAATGTAATCCTTAAAGTCGTAGTAACTTTAAGAAAAAAATGTTTTATTAAACATGTAACAGGAAATAATAACAAGAACACAAATAATGCACAACAGTTGTAGACCATCGCGAGCGAAGCGAGCCATTTGCGCGCGAAGCGCGCAACATCACACGGAGCGCGAAGCGCGACGATCAATATTCGCGCGCCCCGAGGCGCGCCGAAACTTGCGAGCGAAGCGAGCCTCCGCGCGAAGCGCGGATGAGAATGTGTCCGCGCTTGCGCGGACAGATTTTTTTATTTCATTGAGAATTTTTATTACTCTACATCCACTAATAATTGAATAAAAAAATTATTCTCAAAAACTTAAATAAAATTTTTTTTAGAAACAATTAAAAAAAATGGAAACAAATTTTTCGCCAGAATTAAATTATTTTCACAAATAATGAAACTTTTTGCTGTTATTCAATTATTTAAAATACAATATTTTGAAGAAAATTTTTCGAAAGAAATTAAGTATTTTCAAAAATGTTGTTATAATTTGTTTATAAAAATTAAATTATTTTCATATAAATAATAAAATTCGTCCAAAGAATTCCATAATTTTTCCTGCGATATTAATTAAATTATTTGAAATGATTTGTAATACAATTTTATATAAATTCCTCGAGAAATGTAATTGTTTTTAAAAATTTTATAAGTAAAATTAGATTTTAAAAAATAATCAATTACTGTATCAAGTATTTAATTTTGTATTATCATAATTGAATTCTCGTATAACGTTCTAATAAGAGTTGAATTAAAAATTAATTTTAGTTTAAATTTCAGATAATAATTGAATATTAAAAGTGTTATCCCAGTATGAATTATTAAAAATAATGAAATTGGAAACGATTTTTTAATTGAAATCTTTAAAAATTTTAATTTGTTATAAAAATGTAAAAATATTTAAGAATTTATTTTAAAAAATTATTAATTTAGAATTGATGTTATTATCAGGATTATAAGTGCTTTTTAGTCAAATTTAATCTTTAAATAGCTACTTTTTATTATTTTTTTCTAAAATTAATGATTCTCTTTGCTACTTTTTAAAAATTAATTATTTAGTTCGAAGTTTGTGTAAATTAATTTAATTTTTTTGCAGGGCATTGTTAAAACTCAGCTTAGTGCCAGAATTCGCAACTGTCGTTATCGCTTAAAAAAAAATTGAGTGCAGAAGAGACGATATAGTTAAATAATTGTTCTGAAGCAGAAATTAACCTTTCCGATGAAGCTGGGTATGTTAATTTATGAAAATTTTTAATTTTAAAATCTTTTTCTTTGAAAGTTATTAATTTTCCAATATTAATAATTTACTTTTTCAGTCCATCAGGTTGTATTGCAGACTCTCAAAATGTCGAGAATGCGTTTCAAGAACTTAACAAATGTAAAATCACAGACGATTCAAACAACGTAAAGCGATTGATGGAAATTACAAAAAAGAAGCGACGAACTTTCATTGAAAGTAGTGAAGTCTCTTTGACAATTAGAGACATTATTAACAAATTTCCTCAATTGAGTTTATTTAAATTGGTAATTTAATTTCAATTTATATATTTTCCGATCCGAATAATAGAATTTAATTATTATTGTGTTCTTTATTTTTTTATAGATTACTTATGAGTTTCTACTGCTAACAAAGGCTAATGAAGAACAATTATTAGCAAAATTAAATAGTATTGTTGAGAAATTTGGGACAACATTTTATAATGGAATCTGACACCGATGAGAACAGAGCTAAAATTTTCAAACGACTTCATGAAGAATTAACTCTGAAAAAATTTTTGAAAGCCAGAGAACCTTTAATAACTATAACGGAGGTTTTTAAATATTTTCTAAACAGGTGAATAGTAAAATTATTCTGCTCAAAATTAAAGTGACAAAAATTATTCTATAGGCTGAAAAAAGAAGTACAAGTGAACTTCTATGCGCTGAGATGTCATCGCCAAGACTTGTCGTTTATGTAGAAGACGGCGGAATTGTTTCTGCTTTCATAGTTGCGGACAAGGAAGTGAGAATTAAAATTTCCAACCCCAATATTGAAAAGGCTCTTCTTTCACTTTTTGCGTCATACTTCGCGTGGAACATCAAGTATCCGTCGGCTTATGTTAATACATTATCTTATCTAGATCAGGAGATTTTAAATAATCAAAACCACAAGCAAACAGCAGTTCACAAATTTACAAGAAAAATGAAAAGTAGATTGAATATACATACTTTAAATTAAGGTTCAGAGATTTGTTAATTCATAATTAATTAAATTTATTAAACAAATCAAAGTTCGTAAAAATAAAAAGAAATCGACATATTATTTAAAAAATTGTTTAAAGTAAAGTAAAATTTTAGGTTATATAAATTGAATGTATTCCATTCATTTAAAGTGAAAGCTGTTATATTTTTTCCAAAAAAACAAGGTGTTCATTTTCTTATTGTTTCTAGATAGTTAAAGTCTGATTAAAAGAAGGGAAAAATATGCAGTTAAAGCTGTTAAAAAATTTTATTTTTAAACCAATATAAAACTACGACCTGTATTCAACAATTAAAGTTGATTAAAATTGTACTAACTATAATAATCGTCGTATATTATAATAAATTTCATTTTATAAATATTAATTGTTTTCTTGTTTTATCCAATAAATTCCGTGCGTTCGTGAAATAATAAAGTAACGTATGTTTTATCATCATGTGAGAACGTTGGAATAGAATGAGGAAAAATTAAATTTTCTAATAAAATTACATCTTCATTAGTATTTATTGGTTCAGCCACACAATAAGCGTTCAAAATTCGGTCATATTCTACTGTTTCTAAAACTTTAAATAAAAACATAATTTTCTCTTTTATAATATAAATGTCTTTAATTTTTGCGAAAGTGGGCAATGTTTCATCTTCACAATCAAGAAGAAAAATTGAATTTTGCTTATATGTTGCTCCATAGCTTTTAATTTTTGGCGAGCGCATTATTTGAAGCGACAGCAGGCAATTTATTTTTTCGAGGTAACTTTTGAATAAATGAGCATTTGGTAAATTTTGTAAAAGTAAAATTTCTCCTGGCGAAATTTCATCTCCTTTATACAAAAAAGTCTTGTTTTCTGAACCTGTCGCTAGTTCCAAAGCAATTTTGGACTGAAATCTATAAGACAGACTTAGCGGCGCATTTTTAAATGATCTTATGACCGGCATCATGGATTTGAAATAACTATGCTGACTTTCGAATCTAAAACACCATTGTTGGCGAGCTGGTCCAAATAATCTTATATACATTGGTATATGGATTAAGAAATGAAATTTAGGTACAATTTCATTTGGGTATAAACGAATAAATCGCAAAATAAATACCTCAATCATTCGTTCTAATAAATGTACCGTTTCGGAGGATATCTCGTAGGCAAAACAAGTGCTCACTATTTGTAACAAAAGTGTATGGCAATACATGGATTCCAAAGTGTCATCATTCTTTAACCACTTCACAATCAAAAATGGTAGAGTAAAAACGAGACCTAGCATTTGCGATGCGCTTTGTTTCAGAGATTTTTCTTGACTAAGATGTTCCATCAAAATTAAAGCTGGTTTATTAACACCGAAATAATCAAAATTAAAATTTTCGATGCTTTCATTCAGATCGTCTAGAGTGAAAAGCCCTTTATCGAAAATTAAATAGTGCAGCAAACATTGTGTTTCCACGATGCAGACTCCTTCTATTAGAACATGCATTCCATCCTGCGGTAAACATTTTGTGACGTCCAAATTATTTATGTCCAGCAGTGGACTTCGTTCATTTATTCCAAATTCAACTTTTCTTTTATTTTTTTCATTTTTCGTGATGTTTTCTTCATTTATCGCCCTCAAGTGATGATTATGGGTTTCCACATTTCTGAGTGTGAATTCACTCTCATTAAATTTTTCCTTCCACGTACTCTCAGTAGCCATACACGTACGGCATAAGCAATGAGCAGAAACGGATCTTTTATAACCACCCAAAAACGCTGAAGCGGGATTGTCACCAGAAGAAAATAATATTGATCCTTTAAAAATTTTTATTTCATTACCAACGCTGATTCTCAATCCTTCCGTTTGAAGAATATTCATTTCTTTTACGAGAGGTTCTAAGAACTTTTGAATTCCATATTTTTTTAGGAAATTAGTTTTAACAATACTGTATAAATAAATAGAGTTTTTGTTGGATCTTAATCGAGGTTCAATATTTCCTGGAGACCAATAAAACATGCTTAAATTATGTTTTTTGCAATTTGCACCTAGCGGATTGGTAACTGTTAAATCGTCGTAATAAAATAAAATTGCTAAAGCATTAGGATTCTCTCGAAAAAAAGGATTTTCTTTGTAAATTTCTCCGTCCAATACCGAGCGATAAGTACCATCATCTTTTTCAATCCTATTTTCAATGTTTTCTCGAATTTCATCATTGCTTAATAGATTTTTTAATGTGTCTAAAACAGGCACAATGTAGGCATTATCCTTTCTTTCAATCAAATCTGAATGAGAATCTTTTTTTACCCATCGTAACGTCGTTCCCATTTTCATTTCCACAGGCTGCACCATTTTGAATTCTTCAACCAAAAATTGATCCAGTTTATTTTTCGATGCAAAGTCAGAAAAGCTTTCTGAATAATTTTGCGAATTTTGTGCAATTAGTCTTTTTATTATATTAGAATTAACTAAATTGGTCTCAGGGTCGACGTGTTTCTCAATTTCTTTCTATAACAAAACATAACTAATATTATATACAAAAAAAATATTTAATGTAAACGTAATTACTAACGTTTTATTTAGAAAAACACTTTCTGATTTAAATTATACATACCAATAAATCATCGGAATAAGAATTGTAAAGGGTTATAATCTCCGTCACAATTTCTTCTATAGTTGACTGAGAAGTTTTACCATTTTCACGAATGTTCAAGAGAAACTGTGCCGCGCGCAATTTCACTTTCAGCAGAGCTTTTTTATTTTGAACTTCTTCCGTCACTGGAGCTATAAAATGTATTTTTTGTAAATTTTGTGTGTTTATAAATTATTGAAATTTGTGTGGACCAAAAAAATGTGAGGTTATTTTACTAGAATTTTTAATGTTTAAAAAAACGAAATTCTTCTTTAAAAATATTTTTCAAATTTCTAAAATAAGTTAAAAGTAATGTCAAATTTAGCATTTTTTAACTTCAAGAGTTATTTTTTAAATGTACAAAATAATATTTTTTTACAAAGTACGAATTAAACAAAATAACAAAAATATCGTCGTTTATTTCAGGCTTCACTCTCAATAATTAATTTTAAAAAAATATCAAAAAGTAGTTTTAATACTGAAAAAAGTAGCTATCGAAAATTAATTTTAACGCGCATAAAAAGAAAATTGTTTTAGTCGATTCACAAAAATTCGATTCAGTATTTCCCTGACTGTTTCCTGATTTCAATTAAAAATATTTATTTTTATTATAATCCTGCTAAGAACTTTAATTCTAAATTTTTAAAAAATTAAATTATTTTCTAAATTTTTATCCTAAAAAATACAATTGTTTTTAAAAGTAAATAAATAAAGTATTTAATAAAATTTAATTTAAATTCTTCACAGGAATTAAAAAAAATAAAATAATAATTTTTCAAAGTAACAATTTAAATGCTATTATAGTTTTTTCAAAAAAAAAATCGTACTATAACGCTTTTAATATTCAATTATTATCTAAAATTTCAACGAAATTCTTTTTAGATCAGTTCTTATTATAAAGTTCAACTGAAATTCAACTATTTAAATAAAAAAAGTAAATAATATATTGAATAATTAAATGTTTCTCAAAATTTATTTCTTAGAAAGAATTTAATTAAAAATAATTCAATTTCTGAGAAGAATTTTATTATTTATAAAAATAATTAAATTCTTCAGAAGAATTTTATTTAATTCTTTTTAAATAATTAAATTCTCGTGAAAAATTTTATTATTGGGGACAATAATTGAATAAATGTGAAGAAATTAAAGAATTAAAGAAAGAATTTATCAATTTTTAAAACAATAATTGAATTTCTGAGAAGCATTTTATTATTTATGCGAAAATAATTGTATTTTTGCCTGGATTTTTATTAAAATGATATAGATATTGAAAATCATTGATTTTCGAAATTTTTTTGAGAATAATCGAATCGTTTCAAAGAATTTTATTACAATTTAAAAAATTTTTTTTTATTTCAACTGTTAGCGTATTTAAATTAATGCAAATTTCCCTCAAAAATAAAGAAAAAATTAGCTTTTAGTGTCATAAATATAAAAAAGTATCTAAATAGTAGCAAAATTTAAAAAAAGTAGTAAATAGTAGGTTTCAGTAGATGAGTGCGTAGCCTGCGTTATTTGTACTTTCGAAAATTTAGTGACATGTGAGGTTATGTTTACTCACCTTCAAATTGTTGTGATTTTTGAACATTATCACTAATATCATTGAAAGCAGCTGTTGGGAAATGAAAAGGCTCATTTTCCTCTTTATCGAATGTTGCATTATGTGTTCTGTAGTTGTGTTTTCTAAATGTTTCATAATTTCGATATGTTTCTCCACACTGACAAGTTATTTTGAACAGAGGATTGTGTCGGTGACAATTTAAAATATGTTTCCTGAGAAGTGTTTGAGACAATCCCTTGTAAAAACACATTTCACATTTTAATTTATCCATTTTGTATAAATAGCAATTGAATTTTCCTTTCATAAAAAAGACATTGTGGGAAAAGTCGAATGTATTTTTTTTCTTCTTAAAAATGTCAAAATAGAAAATAATCATTGACAATGTAAAAAGCGAATAGAAGGGTGAACTTACATTTTGAAATGAAATATAGTACCTTAAATACTCACACATAAAAGTTGGAGCTACAGTCACTCTTTTTAATATCATTGGAGTTGCAATTTTGTTAATTTTTATTAATTTAACTATAAAACTAAATTAAAATTAAAGTAATTTAAATAAATTATATTAATCACTAAAAAATCTTCTTTAAATAAAAGAAACACGTTGATAAATAACGAAAATTAGTATACTTTCGAAATGTGAATTTATTCACATCACAGAACCAGGGTGAAACACTTAAGATGTTTTAGTTGAAGACATATAAGTGTCTCAAAATAAAACACTTATCCGTTTCAAATATGTGGACATAAGACATCTTACGTGTTTCAAATATGGGACAAAACGTCTCAAAATGAGACACATGATTTTGCAGTGTATTTTCATAAGAAGACGTTTAATTAAATTTTCTTAAAAAGTGTCATCATTCAATCAAACCTTCATATATTTTCTTACAGTCGTAGCACACTAATGGGATAGTGAAAAAAGTTTGAAAACATACGTCTTTTAGCTATTTTCCTTGTAGCTGAATTAATATTTCACACGTCGCAAAAATAAAAACGTTAAAAATGTATACTTTTCTGAGACTTTCAAATAAAATTTAAGCGTTTTTCAATTTTAAACTCATAAAATTAATTGACAAATTAATATTTTGTTCTAATACTGTACATAAATGTTGCTTAGTATATAATTTAGGAAAATATGATTAAGCAATAAGTTTCAATCTAAAATAATACGGACTTTTAAGTGTTCGATTCGAGTATCATAAAAGTTAACAGTTTCGTAGATTTGCCCATATCTCACAGTGGATGAGTGGAGGGATGCCTGTGAATGTCTTTGCGGGAGAGGAGCAGGTACTTATAGAGTCAGTGAAACAGGTCACAAGCGAGAAGAAATCACTAGCATGCACTCTGGCGGCGCTTGTCGGAACTGTTTTCTGGCGCGCATGCATATCCTGACATTATCGGCACAGCGCTTGGCAACCAACGTTGCGCCACTTCCGACAAGCGCCGCCAGAGTGCATGCTAGTGATTTCTTCTCGCTTGTGACCTGTTACACTGACTCTATAAGTACCTGCTCCTCTCCCGCAAAGACATTCACAGGCATCCCTACACTGTGAGATATACGGTGAGGAAATTTTTATCAGTCTTTCACCTTTGTTTTACCAGAGGTGAAAAATTAAATTAATATGTTCTATTAATTTAAAAAAATATATATTTTTGAAAAATATATTTTTTAAAAATAAATTTTAATTATAATAATTAAAAAAATCAATTTTCAATACCTTGGTTTTTTGTTGGCTACCAATAAAAAATCAAGCTTTTGAAAATCGATTTTGTTTCCTTGGCAATTCCTTGGCAACTAATATTGGCCCGATGCTTGACTACCGATCATTGGCAGTAGCGTAATCATCCCAAGCTAAAACCAATGGTGGTCCAATGATGGTTGCCATTATTGTTCCAATAATGGAACGGAATTCGCCCAGCATGGCCCATTATTGAACTAATCGTTTACTTCCCATTGGGTAGTGGGGCTGAATTTCAATGGAACGTCTCCACCAATCAGAGACGCTCTACTTTAATCGCCTTTCCTGCAAAATTCACTGTTGGGAGCTAAGGTCCCTTTCAACGTTATTTTTCACATTATAAAAATCAAAATAACTTGCACTTTTTTTTTACTAAAAATTGTGGTATTTTGTCGCAATTTTTTTAAATGAGTCGAAAAAAGTCACAACTTTCTTAATTTCCCTGACAACAAATTTTTTCCTGACATTTCCCTGACTTTACTGACATTCTTGCTATGAAATATGTTCAAAAATAATCTTTTTTATTTTTTAACATACAGGAGTGAAAAAAACTTATTTTTTTAATTTGCAATATCCACGTGGACAATTGTATAGGGGGGAGGGGGTTTGACAAATGTCCACGACTGTCCACAACGGGGGGCGGGGGCGTCAAAAATTGGTAAAAAATTGTCCACGTGGTTTATGGACGGCCCCTATTGACCGGACCATGTTTTCTATATGTCTTTTGGGTCGCTGAATTCGAATCCGAACTCAGTTTTGCGCCATCACGTCAAGTTATTTCACAAATTAATGAAATTCGAAAAAACTGACTGTAAACAAGATTTAAATAAAAATAAGCAGAAGATTCTATTAAAAAACATTTTTAAAACACTGAAAAAATATTACATAATGTTAAACAATCAAAAAATCTCGTAAATATTTCAAATTTAAGATGGCGGATCCAATACGGCGTCAATTTTTTTAAAATTCACCCAATTCGCCTGAATCTTGTTACTAGGGGGTTTTTGGGTTTGCTAAATACGAATTTTACCTTAGTTTTCAAAAATTCAAAATGGCAGATCCAATATGGCTGACCAATTTTTAAACACATTATTGGATTTACCTGAAACGTTATACTCGGGGGTTTTCGGGATAGCTGAATACGAATGTGACGTCAGAATGTATTTTCTGCCTATAATTTTTTTTTTCTTTCTCTTCTTTTCTCTCGACGTTTTACTTTAATTTTTTTTTATTATCAAACAAGATAAAATAGTACATTTCTTTTAGACTCTCAAATATTGATTTTTCTCAAATGAGATTTTTGCCAATCTCGTTTTCAAAACTTTCGAAACGAGAAAAATCAATATTTACTAGTAAATAGATCTTAAAATGCATTTAAGATATCGAGAACAAAGAAAAGAGCGTAAGGCCCTTTTCGGTCTAAATTTACGTAGACGATCCCGGCGCGATAAAGATCGAGCGGCGGCAAAGCGGGAAAAACCCAAAATTCGCCTGTTAAGCGAATTTCTCTTTTTCTTTCCATAAAAATTAAGTAACACGAATTTTGCGTTTTTCTCAGTTCTATTAAATTTAATTAAATTTACCGTAAAAGAATGTTATTAATCTTTAAACCATTTTTCTCTTTTTTTTATTATTATTAATTAATTTTATAAGAAATTTATTCAATAAGAATTCAATTTTATTTTTATTTTCTTTCTCTCTCTTACTCATAAGTATCAAACGATAATTGAAATTATAAGCATTTAAATAATTGAAATTTCTTTTTTACGATAAAGTTTAAAATTTGTTTAAACAATAATTACTATTAATAAATATATTCAATAAAATATTAATTCTATTCATGATTTCCATTTCTTGTGTAAATTAAATTCTAAAATAAATTAAAAATTACTGATTAGTAAAATTCAATTATTTAATTGTTTAAATATAATATTATTAAAAATTTAGAACTTTAATAATCCTTTGACTAATTTCAACATGGCAAAATAATAAAATTGTTTAAATTAATGATTAATGCTAATTTACTAAATTTTGCAAAAATAAAATGTTTAAAGCTAATACTCTACAAAATTAAGATTTAAACAATTTTAATTTAAAAGGATGAAATTAAATTAATTCTAATAATTCCTAAAATTTAAAATTTAGTTACAAAAATTAGTAATATGCATTTATCCGATCATTTTTAATAATAAATAATAATTGTAATCAAAATTGGAAATTACTCTATATTTTAAGGTTTATTGTAAACAACTTAAATTAACTAATTTCAGATTGTTTGTTAAAAATCGTACTAATTTTTATATAAGATTTTTATTCGATTTAATTGTAAAAATCTTTGATAATTTCTCAAAAAGGTTGAATTTTTAAAACTTTGAATTTTACGGAAAACCTAACAGTGTCTCCATCTTTTGAAAAAGCTCTCAAGTTTTATCCCACTCTAAAGATTTTCAAATTCAAACGCCCACATAAAAATTTGGCAACTTTCGGAGGGACGAAACTAAGGGTCCCAATCATAAGATCTTCTCTAATGAGTTTTTACGCCTTCTTCTTTTTCTATTCGACAAAACCGAATTTTGCCATGCCCATACTCCTCCACCAGAAAATGTAACCCCCAATTTGAAAAATTTTAGAGGGGACAAGACTATAAAAATTGGAACTCTAAAAAAAACTGTACTCATTTTTCAATTTTGAATTTTTAAGTTTCAACTGTCCTAACTTCTTCAAATTACTACAAGTTTTAATAAGTTTTTCAAAGTTTTACAAATTTTAAAAAGTCAAACAAGTTTTTGACAAGTTTTAATAAGTTTTTCAAAGTTTTACAAATTTTAAAAAGTCAAACAAGTTTTTGACAAGTTTTAACAAGTTTTTCAAAGTTTTACAAATTTTAAAAAGTCATTTTTACATGACAAGTTTTTGACAAGTTTTAAAAAGTTTTCAACAAGTTTTTCAAAGTTCAACAAGTTAAAAAAAAAGTTAAACAAGTTTTGACAAATTTTACAAAGTCAAAAATACTTTAAAAATTTCTACAATCTACAAAAAAAATCTTGAGGAGAAATTATCAAAGATTGAACGACGAAATATATTGCTGCCTATTCTGTTTGCCGAAATATTCAAATTACAACAATAAAAGTAAGTTTAATGAATAAATGTTATAAAATTAATTAATTCGTTTACATTCATTCATTTTCTTTTTTTATCACAAGTTTACTTTCTTCTACTCTTTACATTTTTTTCGTCTGAAATAGAAACTTGTACAACCGAGTTTCATGATGACACTTGAATTTTTGAATAGGGAAAACGCGCGGTATTGATATGTATAGTTGCTAACCTTATTTTATTAAGCGCGTAGGCTATACATTTTCAATTCTCTTTTCGTTAACTTCTTTTCTTCCTTCCTTAATACATACGTTTTACACTAATTTTAAGACAATTTAATCTATCAAAATAAGATCAAAAGATTCCCGAACTATTAGACTTTATTGTCTAGGTTCAAACAATATGTTAATATTTTATTATTAACAACTTTTAAATTATGTTATATCTTCGGACGTAACACGAATTTCACCTTAGATTTCAAAAATTCAAAAACTGATAAATTTTTAAATAATAATTTGTTAGCCATATTGGATCCGCCATTTTGGATTTTTTAAAACTAAGGTGAAATTTGTATTCAGCGACCCCAAAAACCCCCAAGTAACAAGTTTCGAATAAATCTGATAAATTTTTTAAAAATACGTCAGCCATATTGGATCCGCCATTTTGAATTTTGAAAAACTAAGGTGAAATTCGTATTCAGCGACCCCAAGAACCCCCGAGTAACAAATTTCAAGTAAATCTGATACATTTTTAAAAAATTCGTCAGCCATATTGGATCCGCCATTTTGAAGAAACTTGACGTGATGGCGCAAAACTGAGTTCGGATTCGAATTCAGCGACCCAAAAAACATATAAAAAACATGGTCCGGTCAATACTTTCTTTTTAAAAAATTTTGTTGTCCTGTGTAATTTATCCAATATTTTTCAATTGAAAGAACTTCAGAAACTATATATTTCATGATAAAAATGATATCGCAGGATGTCAAGAATTGTAAGTCATCTGTGATACGATACTATCATTATGCTACTGGGTAAAAGCTTAGGTGGTAAAAAGTTTTGTTATTTTACTTTTAGATTTCACTTTTAAAGATGTTTTGAGCAATGTAAAGACAAAAATTAAGCTGGGTGTCTGTGTTCGTTTAACAAAATTCCCGGCTTTGTCCAAATTTCACCCGCTTTATTTTTTTTATTAAATTTAAATTTACTTGATTTTACCCATAAATAAATCTGCAGATGGCATTATTAGTACCAGTCTTTGACGGGTTTTAGTTTCTACTATAATACATTTGACAGAGTGTTTACCAATTGTGTGGGGAAACCGAGAAATAGCCGGGAATTTTTTTCCAAATTAAAAAGTTTTATTATATTAATTTGTTTTTAAAAATTTGCTTTTTACTTTAATTTTTATTGATGTAATATTTTTTATGACAACAGGCCCCAGTAAAAATTTAAGCCTAAACATGTAGATTTTATTTAGGTTTTAGCAGTCATAACGTAGGGTCTAATTGTGACACAATTATTTCGAATTAGACTCTACTTTGACTCCAAAAGCTGGTGGAAATTTAGGATTAATTTTTAATACATTAATTGCAGTACTATAAACGCATAAAGTACTACAAATTAACAAATACTGTTCCTGAATAACAAATTTGATAGTAATAACAGTAATATTTTCCTAATGAAATAGTTAATAGTAACTAGTTATTAGCTTTTCCCATTAAAATTAAATTCCCGGCTATTTCCTGGTTGGTTGACACCTTTTCAAAAATGTATTAGTAAAAACTAAAACTCGTCGAAGACGGGTCCGACAACTAGTGAATAAATAAATATTAAATAAAATAAAATTTACTTTGTTGCCCTGCTCTATTTTAAAAACCTAACATCAATCAGAAAATAATATAATAATGATTCTATCACTCGGTTTTCAAATTAATTATGTGTTGAAGTTAACGATCACTCCGAATCAAGCCTGGCTTGACTTGGAGTGATTGTTAACTTTAACACATAATTAATTTGGAAATTTTGGAATTCTTATTGGAAGAAATGCACTATTTATGTTCTATACATTTTCTTCGTGAAAGGATTTTTTGAAAAAGATAAAAAATACCAACTCCATGCGGAGTTTTTTCCTAGTTTTTTATTTAATGATTTTAAAAGAAATCTTTTCTTTTATTCTGTTTGTTGTTGAATTTAACGTTTATCTTTAAAATCAGAATAGTTAAGAATTTGCATAATTACACTTTTTATTTATCATTATTTTTCCTAGTTGAATTACCGTTTACTGCATTTATGAAATGAATACTAAAATGTAACCTTATAAGATGATGTTTATTAACCAGTGATAAGTATTATATTTCCGTATAATCCACGCCCCTTTTGCATTCAGATTGAAAGAATGAATACGACGAATATTATAAGTAAATCACTTAACAACGGGACATGGAGCGCTTTAGAGCCCGTAATTCTCTTACTATGATAAATACTTGCCTAGTGCTATATCTCCCATCGTTGAATAAACGTCTAAATATTGCGTGTTTTACAAGAGAAATTCTAAAATTTGTATTGCTGAATTTTATTTTTGCATTTTACTTACTGCGTCCAATAAAAAATACTTGAATTTATTAGCTTACTATATACAAAAACATCATTAAGATAAAATTAGTGTATGTTAAATATTTATTATTAATATTTTGCTATTTTAGAAACCTTCTGCAGATTTATTAATTGCACTAATATTTTTGTTTACTTGTAAACAAGGTATTTATAAGTTGTATTTAATTAATTTCTATTTTATTATTTTCAATGTTTTTATATTCAAACAATTTAGTCAACTTTTATCTGTTTGAACCTATTTTATAATGATTTAATTATGGTAAATGTTTTCAGTACTTTGACAGTATATAAATTCAATTGTTCAGTGCATTTTCTATTTGGTGGAGGTTCCCAATGCTTGATTTAAAAAAGCGAATATTCTTCTTTTGAATATTTTAAAAGACAATCTTATAATCCCTTAAAGCCTGGAAATATTGAGGGGAAAGGGTGTAGCTACAAATATATTTTAAAAAATATGTTAGTTCTTAAGTCATAACCGTTCTCTACAAAAATTCCAATGTTCGGAATATTTTGGATCGTCACAATAAAAAAGTTCCCAATCCTCCCAATAAATTGCAATATTCTAACGACATAAAATATGATAAGATAGTTTCTTATTAGTATATTGCATATAATAAGCTTGGTATTTCCTCACAACAAAAGGATATCCTGAGTGTATCCTTAGGTTATTCTGAACAGATGTCCCTATTGAAAATCCCCATATGGGAAACCACATGGGAAACCACATGGGATCCTATGTCAAAAACCATGTAAAACCCTACTTCCATGAAGGAAACCACGTGGTTTACCATGTGGTTTCCCATGTCAAACCATATGGGAAATTGAGACAGGATTTTAGTTAGGAATAGACATGGGAAATTTAAACAGTTCATCTATACATAAAACCATATCAAATCCCACATGTTTTTCCCAGTCAAATCCTAAACCGAATCCCATGTGAAAAACAGTATCATTTATTTATAATTATTTTCCCAAGTCAATCCCCAAGTGAAAAACAGTATTATTTATTTATAATTATTTTCCCATGTCAAATCCTAAACCAAATACCATGTGAAAAACATTATCCGCCTTATTGAATATCCCTACATGGGAATCCACTTGGAATTTTACAAGGGATTTCACATAGGACTTTATATGGGAATTGACATAGGATTTCATGCAAGATTTCACCTAGGATTTAATATGAGATATCACATAGTATTTTATTAAAGATCCAATGAAGAAATTTTCAAAGGATTAAAAATTATTTAATAAAAAATTAAATAATAAATAGTATTAGTGTTACAAGTCATCAAAAAAGTAAAAAAACTATCATTTGAAACACGTCCTCTCTCCTACAGGTTCTCAGCTTTTATATACTTCCAGAATCGTCTCAACAGCGAGAGAAGTCACTTTCGCCACCTAGCGGTGAAAGTATAGGAGCGACAGTAATCTTTAACATTACTAAGGAAACCATGTGGAATACCACGTAGGATTCCATGTGGTTTCCTACGTGGGGATTTACATGGGATTTTACTTAGGAATTCATTTGGGAATTTATTTCTACTTAAATTCCTAAGTAAAATCCCATGTAAATCCCCACGTAGGAAACCACATGGAATCCTACGTGGTATTCCACATGGTTTCCTTAGTAATGATAAAGATTACTGTCGCTCCTATACTTTCACCGCTAGGTGGCGAAAGTGACTTCTCTCGCTGTTGAGACGATTCTGGAAGTATATAAAAGCTGAGAACCTGTAGCAGAGAGGACGTGTTTCAAATGATCGTTTTTTTACTTTTTTGATGACTTGTAACACTAATACTATTTATTATTTAATTTTTTATTAAATAATTTTTAATCCTTTGAAAATTTCTTCATTGGATCTTTAATAAAATACTATGTGATATCTCATATTAAATCCTAAGTGAAATCTTGCATGAAATCCTATTTCAATTCCCATATAAAATCCTATGTGAAATCCCTTGTAAAATTCCAAGTGGATTCCCATGTAGGGATATTCAATAAGGCGGATAATGTTTTTCACATGGGATTTGGTTTAGGATTTGACATGGGAAAATAATTATAAATAAATGATACTTTTTTCACTTGGGGATTGACTTGAGAAAATAATTATAAATAAATGATACTGTTTTTTACATGGGATTCGGTTTAGGATTTGACTGGGAAAAACATGTGGGATTTGATATGGTTTTATGTATAGATGAACTGTTTAAATTTCCCATGTCTATTCCTAACTAAAATCCTGTCTCAATTTCCCATATGGTTTGACATGGGAAACCACATGGTAAACCACGTGGTTTCCTTCATGGAAGTAGGGTTTTACATGGTTTTTGACATAGGATCCCATGTGGTTTCCCATGTGGTTTCCCATATGGGGATTTTCAATAGGGGTGAGATATCCCAAAAAAATCAACAGGATATCCTAAGGTATCTAGAGGTTATCCAAACCTACATACTTGGCTATACAAGTGTTTTTACATTTCGTAATTTTTCTCTTTACAAATTTCCTTATTAAACTTAATACTAAATTTTGCGTCTACAGAACGTCTTGAAATTAGGAGTACTCGCATTTGCCTGGACCACACGTCTAATGGGTTTTCTCGCCAGTGGAGAGGGATTCTGTAGAAAATCTCTCCGAGTATAACCGGTTTATCGACATTCGAGTATATTTTGATGATATTTTATGGATATATTATTCGAATAAATGTAAGACATCCTGCGAATAACCTAGGGATATCTTTAGATATTCTAAGGAGATGCCCCTAGGATATCCAAAGAGTAAGTCTCAAAGTATGTTCACGACTTCACCACTATTATTTTTGCTTCAAGATCCTAAAGATAATTTATTTTATATACATCAGATAATTGATTTGGGCAGGTTAGAGCGATAGATATGTTTTTGGATGTGATTAGTGCGACAATTTTCCTCAGTGCGGCCAAGCTGTAATAATGATAGTCAGTGTTGGAAAGTGACGCGTCTCTCGAGGTTTTTGAAGTAAATTACATAGGTATTTTACCCCCCACCATAAAAAATGCATTGTGTTTGAAATTTTTGAGGTAATTTACATACGTAATATACTCATGTAATTTACGTGACGTATCCCGTGTAGAAACTTGAGTTGGGTTCTGATAGGGTCTTCGCTGTATTTCCCTACTGCTAGCAGGGTTCTGGAAGAGAAAATCTGGTCGGGCCCCGGTACCTTTCGTCACGCTCGCGGACAGCGAGAAATCGCAGATCGGGCTCTAGCTTGATTTCCCTGTGATGGCCCTACCAGAAATAGAAAGCCACCGCTAGGACACTTTTAGTTCCCTTCAATCGCTAGGTTTATTAAATATTCGAATAAATACACGAAGAAAAAAATGCTGTTGAATCAATGACACCCGGGCATTTTTATGATACAAAAATTTTTTTAGTTGTAGCTATTGGTTCAATTACACCATATTGTTAATCCAATCCTTTTATGGGGTTAAAAAAATACAAACGATAAATTGAAAAAAGAAAATTAGGTTTACATATTTTTTACATATTATAATTAATTTTCACAGCTACAAATACTTCTATATATAAATCTTTTTTTTAACTTTACACACACTCACATACACATCTTTATAATTTTTTTATTTTTTCCAAACGAACAAATTTCTCTTAAACGGCTAAAACATACACACACACAAACTTTTTTTTTTGTCAGAAAAACACGGTAATACGGCATATCCCCGAGCAGTCACCCATCCAAGTAGTAACCGCGACCAAAGTTGCTTAACTTCCGTGATCGACGGGAACCGCCGCGCTGCAATGTACACGGAAAAAAAAGTACATGAATCCTTCCTTGACAGTGCTTGACTTTTGGATAGGACACAAAATACAAGACTGGTGCATATACTTTTTATTAGAAAATATAAGAAAGTCCTAGAATTATTCTAGTACTAGTATGGGCCGTACTAGTACTAGAATAATTCTAGGACTTTTCTATATTTTCTAATAAAAAGTATATAAACCAGCCTTGTATTTTGTGTCCTATCCAAAAGTCAAGCACTGTCAAGGAAGGATTCACGTACTTTTTTTTCCGTGTACACGGAGAAAAATGGAAAAATGATTTATGCAGTCAGTGTAGTATTCCTTTATAGAATAATATGTGACAGGTACACACTATAGTATTAGAAGTTTCATAGCTGAACACTTTGGCACTCAATACAAGTTATCCCATTCATCAGCTTAAACAAGACTGTTTATATAGTCTAAGAGGGAATAAGAGTATAAAAAATTGGAATGAGAAATTACATTCTCATGTAATTGTTAAAAGAACGCGGCAGTGTACAAAACACAAGTCAATAATAGAAGCGAATATTGAACAACTAGTACTCAGTCCAGTTCTTTCGAAGAATGAACGCCGTGCACATAAAGTAGATACCTACTTGAAAACCACAAGTTATTCTCTCTCTCTCACACTTATGGTCGTTCACTTATCTTACCGTTTCACTTACTCTTACTACTCTGAACTATTATGCAGTGCAGTGAAGTTCATTAAATTATTAAATATTGCTGTGAGAATAATTAATTATACATTTCATTCAAGGTCAATTCACTATTTTGTACACGAAAAAAAAGAATAATCAAATTTACCATTAGAAGTGCCAAACTTGAAAAGGGTTAGGAAAAAGTTGATGTTTTTTATTTATTTATTATTAAATTTCAATAACCGTATCAAATTTAAACTAGTTGGCAATATTATTTATTCAATATTATGAATATTGTTGACATCCATACTTACATTAATTACAAAGTAAAATCCACGCATGATCTAATTTATTTCATTGGTAAGGGATGTTTCTTAAATAGGAAATTTCCCCCATCGATTGCGTAGCCGAGAGGCTTAATGTAAAAGCGTGCGATTTATAATTATATGCGTATATTTAGTTGTATATGGTTAGGTAGGTGTTCAATCCCGTATGATTGTAAGATTTTCCGATGCATTTAGTTGTTAATTGTAAGTATGAAGATGTGGGAAGAATAAAACTTGTGAATTAATGAATATGAATATATAAAGA